AGTTGCTCTCTCGTCCAGCTATCACTCGGTCGCTCAGAGCTCTGGTGCAGCCCTACCGGGATATCGTACGCCCTTCTGTTTGCCCGTACGCTGCACTTGTCCTGACTAGGATTGCTCGACAGCCACATAGCTTGTAGAGATGGATCAGCTACCCGGGTCAAGGCCGCTCCTAGTCAGCATCCCTACGACGTCGACGTCGACGAGTGCAGGGGCTGCCTCAACGGGCGGCTTCACGTTCACGATAGTCCCGTTCACGGACACTTGCGCCACAGCCACCCTCAAGTGGGCGTACAGCGGCCCGGCGGAGAGTTTCTCCCTCTTCGCTTCCTCCGCATCCTCGTTGGACGAGGGAGCAGATGGTGTCGAGGTGATAGGCGTCCCGGTAGTGTACGGCCTCCCAGCCGCCTCGGGGACGTACACCTGGTCGCCAGTCAACCTCACGGCCGGGATGTACATCATGCACGCAGTGGGCGAGGGCATCGAGGCGCAGTCCTCGCAGTTCCAAATCGGCGCGGGCTCAGACTCGTCCTGTCTGAACGCAGCAGACTCGTCGCAGACAAACCCCCCGCTGGCTACGTCGTCGTCCATTCCTGTTCCCCCTGCGACCTCGCGTTCGCACACAGCTGCGATCGCTGGAGGCGTCGTCGGAGGCGTCGTGCTTCTCGCCGTTCTCGCCGGTATCCTCGGCTACATGCGCCGCGGCGTGCATCGGCCCCCGTCCCGACGGGGCAGCAGCGGGAGCCGCAAAGAGAAGCTCCAGTACTCCAAGCAATGGGTCGGCCTGTCCTCCGTCGATACCCTCCCAACTCATTTCTCACGCTCGAGCACGGCCGTCTCGGGCGCGACAGACTTCAAGGCGCCGCAGTTGGATACCATTCGCCCTCCTCCATCTATCCCCTTAGCAGACGGTGCTGCTCCGGATCTGCGCTATGCGGAAACGCTCTCGTACGGCCCAGGTAGCGTTCTGCCCAGTCGCAGGTCCCCAGGCGGCATCTCCACTTCAACCTCTCTGCGTACGCTGGATATAGCTGTGGACCCCTTCCAAGACGGGCAGAACAGCTCCTCGTCCCCAGTTCCAGGCACCCGGAACCTCGACTCGCCCACACCGTCCTCTACAACGTCACACATGTACCCCATTCGTGGTAGCGAGTCCGGCGCCGGGACTTTCTCGAGGGAAGGGCATGTAGGCGCCAGGTTCTGAGGCGTCATAACCAGGGCTCGCGCATGGCGCGCCTGTGGCTTGTCCTCTACGCATGACCATCGCCCCTCCGTATGGGTTTTGGCTCCGATTCTCCGAGGAGTGGAAGCTGCAGGGCGTCTCCGCACGACGCTGAGGTCGCACAAGCTATCCGAAGTAGACCGCCGTACAGACTGTTTGTCGGTGGTACGGGCGCTGTATGATACCTCCGATGAGTCATGAACTTTTGTACGATGTAGGATGTACACCAACCATGTCTTCGCTGTGCCACTGGGAGGGTGCCAGGGACCCGGGATCGCATCTCTGTTCGTCTCGAGCAGGCTTCCAGACGGACTGCGCTTAAGTACCCAAGCTGTCAAGGGCTGCGATTGAACTACTCAGCACGCGTTGACGCTGTTCGAATCGCGATGGTCTCTGAAGCTCTCAAGCTCAAGACTCAGAGCGCCGCCTACGAGTATGAATGCTGGACGGTCGGTGTCCCCATAGCACTGCGAAGCGGGGACACATCTCCCTTCGCTGCATGGGTCATTCACGCCTGACAGCGATTTGATCCCTCTCACGGCCTGTCCGTCCTATCCTCCATCGGTGACCAGACAATGCGGACCCCCATCAGCCTGGGTGAGATACCTTCCAAAGCCCTTCCGCAGAGGGTGGCATCTTCCAAGCAAGTATCAATATCTGTCCGTCCTCATAATTGGGAACATCGCCGGTCCCAGATGCGCCTGCCCCTTCTTCGCCGCATGGACAGATCGCTGCGCGTTCAATGATGATATCTTTGCTCGAGGAGCGCAGATATACTCGACGATGGATGGACTTGCGAGGTCTACCGGATGAACTTCCTCTGGGGTCGTATTAGGTACGCCTAGCCCATACCGTCCGCGCACTCAGCTCGCTCAACTCGGCGTAGAGCACCATGGCGCGCTTTGTGCAACCAGAGCGCTGCGGCCGCGCCGTGGGGCACAGGCTGACGCTGCCTAGTACACTCTTACCCCTGCCTCTTCCGACTGGCACACTTACGCCTACGACCCCACGAACGTCTGCGCCGGCCACGCCAATTCCGAGCTTCACAAGCGCTACCGGTGGAGCGTCCAGGTCACAGTCCGCCCCCGCCTCATCACCCTCCAGCAGCATCAACCTGTCCGCATCTCCCAACGTCTGGAGCCTGCACCCCGTGTCATCGCCGCCCTCGTTAGCCTCAGAGAGCATCCGCCCGCCCTCCATCTCCACCAATTCCAGCCTCCCGATCGCAGCGCCGACGTTGTCTGACGGCCCACGTTTGTTCAAGTTCAACGAGCCGATCGAGTCCGTGGAGATATGCACGCCGAAGGTGATCACGTGGACGTACTCCGGACCCGATGCAGACATCGCGCTCTCCATCGCCGCCACCCCGGAGCTGCACGTTGAACCCGACCTCCCATTCATGCCCCTCGCAGCGGGGATCGACGCCGGGCAGGGGGTGTTCGCGTGGGAGAGCGTAAAGTATCCCTCGGGGTGGTATGTCCTGCGGGCGTCGGGCAGCACGGTCTGGGCGCAGTCTATTCCGTTCCCCATCTACGTTGGCAAGGACGTATCGTGTTTGAAAAACTACACGTCCTCGACGTTCAGCTCAACGACGTCGCCAGTTCAGAGTCTAGTCACTGGTCCTAACGCGGCGAACACCCGCATCACCACCGCTGCCCCATCCGTCGCGCCATCCGCCCCTAGCGCAGCCAAGTCGACGTCGGGCACGGTCAGAGGAAACAAGCGCGCGAGCGTGATCGCCGGAGGCGTCATCGCAGGCATCGCCATCCTAGGAGTGGCGATCCTCGCTGGCATCTGCATCCGACACAGTCTCTGTCGACGCTCGCGCCGCTCCTCTGCCCCTCGCACGCGCCGAACCTGCCGGTCTGGCAGGTGGGTGGGCCTCTCGTCGAGCGACATCAATGAGGAGAGCGAGTGCGGCGCGCCGATGGACGAGCCGCCGTCGCTCCCCGCCTCCACCGAGAAGCGTGCCTCGGTGACCTCACGTCTGGAGCCCAACCGCCGGCGGCCATCCATGCTCTTCCCAGAGATGGCGACCCTAGACCCTCTTCCACCTCCCGGCAGGGACACCCTGAGGTTGAGCACCAACAGGCTCTCCGTACCAATAGTCGAGACGAGGCGCGGGGACTCACCTACGTTACCCGTCAGCCCGTACCGGACGCGCAAACCGGTGCCGCCCCTGGATCCGCTGGACGACGCGCCCCGGACAAAGCAGCCGCCTACGCCGAGCAGGGGAAGCCAGACGACGGGGTTTCCGAGCTTGAACTCGCCCGTGTCGTCGTCGGCGACGTCCGCAATGTATCGCACCCGGGAAAGCGCTATGAGCAGCACGCGGACACGTCCGTACGGGGACGGAGAGGAGAGTTCGGTGGCGAGGGCCTCGAGCGTCATTGACCCGGGCCAGTTTGGCGCCATGAAGACGATGTATAGCTTAGTTCCAGACGTGCCGCCGCTTCCGCAGAGTTGAGTGATCTTGGACTGTGGGGGACTCCATGTCTTGTCGTGAATTGCGTCGGGCAGTAAGTGTGAGGAGTGTTTCTAGCAGTATTATACCATATGAGGGCCTCTATGTACGATGGAAGCTGCAAGGTGCGACGAAAAGCCGTGGCGACCAAGGACGTAGCGTGCGACGAATCTAGGAAGATGACTCGGGCTTGTCATCCTGTTTTGTTGACTCCTCTGCGGCTTTCATCTTCTTGCCGAGGATTTTTGCGCTCACCTGGGACAGGGCTGTAAGACACGATTTCCCGCAATAGCGGGACGCGACTTACGTTACGGATGTGCATCGCAGCACGCTCAACACCATACTCCTTACTGCGCTTGTACTGCTCGAGGGCCTCCTCCAAGAACCCACATGCTTCAAGGACAGCGGCGAGGTTAAAGGCAATCTCAGCATCTTCCGGGGCCAGCGAGGCAGCCACTCTGCAAAATGAAGCGGTATGAGGCACTTTCAAGTCGAGCATGGATCGCCGCGACGTACCGCAAGTGATGCAATGCGAGGTCTGGTCTGCTCACAGGAGAGACGATGTATGCACTAGCGAGGTCTAAGAAAACGCGCGTGAGTCTTACACGGAGAGGTTCTTCAAGGCCCGGACATACTTGTGTGCGCGTCCGCACTTGAAGGTTGGAGAGCAATGGCTTCCTTCCACGCAGCAATTGCATCGTCAAACTCCTCTGTGCGCCGGTCACAGGTTACACCACACAGTCTTTCACCACAGCCAGCACGAAACTCACTCAGGTGATAGTGCGTCACACCAAGATTGAACAGCGCGCTCGCGGTCCGCTTGATGTCTACGCTACGCTTGTACAATGCCTGGCGACGATTTGAATAGAGGCACGGACGCGTTGCAGCGGGGCATACCTTGGCGGCCTGCACATCGCCCTCCTCGAGCTTCTGGGTACCCTCTTCGAGGCATTGCATGGCCTCGACCTCTGCGGGGTTGACTGCTGACGAGTTCGGTGTCGTAGAGGTCGCCCATCCTAGTATTATCGACATTCAAAGACAAGCCCAGGACGCCCTCGAGAATGACCTACGTCTAGCCACGACTTGAAGAGAGGTTCGCGGCCGAGAAACGCCGTTCACCCGTGCAGGGACAGCAAATGCGCGACTGATATTCCGACACACATGCGAGGGGACTGGAGAAGCAGCAGACAACGCAGGCCGAACGAGCTGAGCAAAACCGAGCCTAGCAGACATTATGGAATGGTGGTCGTGGACAAGCCTTTGCTATTGTAGCGAGGCGCTCACTGTGAACGAGGGGCACCGCGAGGAAGAAAAAGCTGATCGAGGCCGGGATCGAACCGACGACCGCCTGTGACCCACACGAAGCAGTGTAAGACAGGAGTGATAACCACTACACCACTCGACCTTGCAGTAAGGGCGGCCTGTGTCCTCTATAGAAGGCATACCGTGGTCCGAGAGATTGTGCACTTGACTCGCGCAACTTGAGCATGTTCCTCCTACCATGACCGCGGTCTATCATTGAACGCCTTGAGGATGTACTCAACTGTCCCTAGCCGGAGCTGAGCGCTGAGGTACTATCCTGTTTAATGTTTGCATCGAAGGCCCTCTGGACTGACGAGTAGTACTACCATGGATCCTTAGTAGGTTGTGCGCCTGACGTCATAACGACCGGTCGCTACTGGGCGGCGGGCGATCGACAGCGTGAGGCTACGTGCGCCCGACACATACACACACAGTAAGCCCCGGTTATGCTCTTACAGCTCCCGGCAAGCAATGACAAACAGCCCATCGTGTCAAGAACAGGGCCGGGCCGTGGCGTGGCGTGAAAGCCGGTCCTGCACATAACGCCTTCCACGCCCTAATCGCTGCAACTGCCCCCGCCACCTGAAGATACGATGCACTTCCAGATCGGAGAAGTGCGTGCGCATAACGATAGCGAGGTCAGGCATATCCGACACTCTGAAGAAACGAGGACGCTCCGCCCAGGGGACATCGTCGAGACCTTTGGACATGTCTTCGAATGGGACCAGGACTGCGTCCCCATCGAGCTATGCGAGAGGTATAGCTCAAAGATGACCCTGAACGAACGTGATGCTGACTCTTTGCACAGTTGGCGGGGTGTCGGTGACCCCCTGTGCGACGATGCTCTTCGGCAAGCGTTCGCTGGTCCATCATCCAGCGTAGGCAAAGACCTGCTGCAAACTCTTGAACAAAGAGCAGACATACAAGATGACCAGTCAGAAGCAATACGCACCTTCGTGGATGAGATACACCAGGCTCCGCCTTCCGGTATCATGGCGACCGAGGAAGAGGTCGCCCTCGCTCAGGCGTTCTTCCTGGACAATTCCATCCAGATCATGCAAGCACTCCTACATTACAGTCTCGCAGGAGGCTTCGCTAGGTCCGTGATCAACACGTCCTCTGAAGATTATCTCATACCGACTTGCTCAACAGCCCGCGTATCGTGCGGACACTAGCAGCTGTCTCCTATCTCGTGCCCCATGTTCGCAGGGAGGACGAGGGGTCATCTTCTCATGACTTGTCCCACCTCCTCAATAGCATCTCCAAGGCATCCTCAGATAGAACACTTTCTCGGCTTCTGGAGACGTTCCAGTTCGTCCTAGACGTGATGGGCTGCTCCGCGCCTGCGGCACCCGCTCACCCTATACGCGAAGAAAACATCAAACTCTCTCAAGAATGTGCGCATACATCCAGCCAAACACATGTCTCAGGCACGAGCGAACTCGCGTATCTACTCCCGGGCGGCGAAGGGTGGAAGTCCACGGCACGAGTACGACTACTCCACGGGGTAGCCCGCTGGAGGGCAGAAGAACGGTGGAAACGGGAAGGGCAGACGAGGAGCGTCGAAGCAGGTGTTCCCATCAGCCAAGAAGACCTCGCAGCGACGTGTGTATGCTCTCCATCTCCCCCAACCCATCGCTCATATCTCTTCTCCCGGTACCAGGCTGGCCGCCTTCTCGACGATACCGATATGGTGCCTGCACCGCCTGCACCTCCCACCGACCCAGGAGCAAGCGAGCGCATACCTCGCGCTCTGGCGACATGTCGGCTACTACCTCGGCGTCTCCCCCAAGATCCTCCTGCGCTACTTCAGCAACACGCGCACCGCGGACAAGTTCCTCGCCACCGCCGCGCTCCATCTCTTCTCCGACGAACTCACACCTTCCCCTTCCCCTCCACCTTCCTCTTCGCCCTCTCCCAGCGAATCTCGGAGCACGATCCTCCGCGGCCCGACCATCCCCATCCTCGTTGCCGTCTCCAACCGGCCCCCGCTCAACACCTCTCTCGAGTACAACATCGCGCTCACGACCCACCTCCTCGGCACGCCGCTCTCCGCGCACCTCGGGCTCCCGCGCACCTCCCTCCGCGCGCGCCTCAGCATGCACGCCTTCCTCCTCGTCCAGCGCATCCCGCACGTCTTCGCCAGCTGGTACCCGCGCAGAGCCTGGCTCGAGAAACGGCGCGCCGTCCTGAGGGAGGGCTTGATGCGCAGCGTGCGGTGGAACTTGGGGCTGAGGCGCACGACGTTCCGCCCGCGGACGATGGTGCAGGACGTCGGGCTTGAGGGGGAGGCTGGGGGAGGGGAGCTCGCACCGGGCGTCGTGGAGGAGGAGGGCGTGAAGCCCGATCCGGCGCGGGCGAAGGTGCTCACGAAGATGTGGTCGGAGGTGTGGATGGAGATGGTCGGGGTGTGCGTGGCTACGTTCGCGGTCACCGGCGTGGTTGGATACGTGGGGCTGGGATACCTTCTGAATTTGGCACGCTCGTGGAACCGCGCGTACTAGAGGTACCGATATCCCATTCATTCGCACACTGTAGCCCTCCGTCATCTGGCGTTCGCATGGGTAATACGTAGAAGTGGAACGGCCTACAAAGAGGACCATGCCGGCATCTCTCAATGTCTTCTGGTCGCATAGTATCACGATACACGGGCCCGAGCAGTATAATGGCTGACGGGATTCCTGATACTTGACCGTGCATACCGGCGTCGGCTTCGCCCACCACGGGCTGCAACACAGCGCTAGCAGCGACGTCACCTCGGGTTCAGACCAACGTACGGTCACGTATCAATCACGTACCAACCCACACGCGCGTTCACCTGAAGCAATCCAGAATGATGCAGCTTGCGATTGTGCCAGGTCCGTCTTGCCATGACCCACATGTCTCGCGACCGATAAGACGGTATAGTTGGCGCAAGATGGTACGAATACATCCAGTTTGAACTTCATTCTTCATGACCTCCAGATCTACGCATCCCCAGATCGTCCGCCCGAGATACTCTGCAGTCCGCACATGTCTAAGTAATGACGGTGGGCTTGTCGCGGCCAAGGAACTCTGGCAGGTTGCTGATCTGAAGCGCAACCTCGATCAATCCCTTGAGACCCTCCTGCGTGTCTTTATTGAGCTCCTGCGGGCCCGCCTCCGGCGGCACGTAGCGCTCGACGTACATCCGCACAGTGGCGCCCTGGCTGCCGGTGCCACTGAGACGGAAGACGACGCGCGAACCATCGTCGAACGTGATGATCTGACCCTGGTTGCGGCTGACGCTACCGTCGATCGGGTCCGTGTAGTCGAAGTTGGAGACGTCCGCGACGGTGAACTTCTGGCCAGTGCTCTTTGAGACGTGCGAGGTGCTGGCGAGCGAGCCGGTGCTAATGTGCACATTAATGGCGTCGACCAGCGATTGGGCGCCGACTGCGGATACCTCCTCGTAGTCATAGCGCGAGAAGAACGAGCGGCCGTAGACGGCGTAGTGCTTGTGGAGGAGCTCCTTGATGCCGACGAGCTGATTAGGCGATTGCTGGTTCGCGTACGCGAGGATGTTCAACCATGCTGCACAGAACGCTTCAGTCGCATGTGATGATCGACATGCCCTTCATCTACTCACCGACTATGGCCCAGACACCGTCCTTCTCCCGAATGTGGTCAGAGCCAGTGCCGAACGACTCCTCACCGCATATCGAAAGACGACCAGCATCCATCAGGTTGCCGAAGAACTTCCAACCTATCAAATCATAGATGTGAGCGGATGTGCCGAATACGTCCCAACATGCAGCACGCACCCGTTGGCACTACGTGGCACTCCAGGCCCTTCTTCTTGGCGACCTTGTCGATTTGCGCGCTCGTAGGCATGCTACGGGCAAGACCCTTGACACCACCCTTTTTGAAGTAGGGAATTGCCTCCGCTGCCCAGTCGGCGATGATAGCCACGCTGTCGCTGGGAGTGACGAACGCGCCCTTGCCGTATATCATGTTCCGGTCACCATCCCCGTCACTTGCAGCGCCGAAGTGGATGCCCTCTCGCTCTACACGCTCCACGAGCTCGTGCGCGTAGGTCAGGTTAGGATCGGGGTGTCCACCACCGAAGTCAGGGAGCGGCTGGGCGTTCTGTACCGAGGATTCGGGAAGCCCAAGGGTCTCCACGAAGATCGCACGTCCATAGGGGCCAGTAACGCCGTGCATGCCGTCGAAGAGAACCTTGAAGGAATCCGCATGGGACTGCAAGAAGTTCTTGATGAGGGGGAAGTCGAAGATGGACTGGAGGAGTTCGAGGTAGTCGGCGACGGAATCGATGATCTCAACGTTCGAAGGACCGTAGGTGAAGAAACCCTTCTTGGAGAGATCGAGGGGAGGAAGCTCGATGACCTTGTAGCTGGAGATCGACTTGGTCTTGTCGAAGATCTTGTTTGTGACACTCTCCGGAGCAGGGCCGCCGTTGGACACATTGTACTTGATACCGAAATCGGCGTTGGGGCCTCCGGGGTTGTGGCTGGCAGTGAGAAGAATACCACCATCCGCCTTGTATTTGCGGATAATGTTTGACGCAGCGGGGGTGGAGAAGATGCCGTCTTTCCCGATGATGAACTTCGCGACACCGTTCGCGGAGCCGATCTTCAAGATGGTCTGAACAGTCTCGGGAGAGTAGTAACGACCATCGCCGCCAACTACGAGCGTCTTGCCCTTAAGATCGACGGCGTCGAAGATGGATTGGATGAAGTTCTCAGTGTAATGCTATAGATTGGCGTCATGAGCGAGTTGCCAGCATGCGAAGATGACGAGGAGAACGCACCTCCTGCTGGAAGACCTTCACCCTGCCGAATGGTCAGCTTCTTCGTTCATTCCATGCCGGCTTCAGACCGCAAATGCAGGGATGCACGATCTCTCATTCTTCCACACTTTGAACGCATCATGCTCCCGACCGCCGCACTGATCACAGCCGATACGAGGAAGGGAAGCGCTCACCTCTTGCGGAGGCCCGAGGTACCAGGCTTCTGGCCGTCGTAAGGCTTCGTCTTCACTTCTTTGACTTGGTAGGACATGATGGTTGAGGGGGGAGAGATGGGGGAGAGATGGAGAGACGGCGAGGGCCAGACGCCTCTTATA